AATTAGCTTTCCCCTGGAGTGAACCAACGTCATCAGCTTTGAAACCATGCCAAACGTTGGCCGGACGGCACATAAAATCCCCTTTCCCACTTTCCCAAGTGAAGGCAATTTCTGAGGGATTATCCTCCCACTGGCTGCCGCGCGTCAAGGCACAAGGCTTACATTGGCTCTCGTGCGACGTAATTCCAAGAAAAGTCACCAGAGAAGCCCTCTCCAAGGGGGCGCAGCGCACGCAGCGGCGCGGCCGCCAATAAGAGGAGAATGCGCTGGCGGCAAAGCCAACAGAGACCGTTGTTGCGAAAGGCCCCAGGAGACGACCTTGCCGTTCCATACCGACCGGCACGGGTAAACGCCCTGGAGCATCATCGCCAGGTGGCTACGGTCAGCTGCGCCCGGAGACAGAGCAAGAGGCGCCCTGGAGTCGTCAACGCTAGAGTTCCTGTATATGCTACCTACGGTAGCAGAGTTGCGCATTCAGCCTCGGCGCGTGGCCGTAGCGCCGGCTTTCCCGCACGAGCTGGATGCTTTGCTCCTCACGTGACTAAATTTGGTGAATAGCGGCGCCGCGCGCGCCGCCGCGCATGGAAAACAGGAGAGAAGGAAAAGGAGGCGGAAAGCAGGGAAACATACGCCGGGGCAAGAGAAGCGTCGGCGGAGCGACCGTAAAGGTGGCTTTCTTGCACGCCAACGGATGCTTTGCTCCTCACGTGATGGATCTCGGCGAATAGCGGCGTGGCGGCGCGGGAAAAACAAATGCGCAACTCTGGCTACCGTAGGGAGCCTATACAGGAACTCTAGTCAACGCACCTTGGTTTGCGGGGACGACGTGACCTTCTCCGAAGGATCATCGGGTTGACCCATGCCAGTGTCATCTAGCCGACTTTGCCGTCCGGTCCCTCCCCTTTCTTCTCCTGCCTGACCTCGACGCACGGCGACCCAACAGCCTTGGGACGTCCTCGATAAGGGAGGGGGCTTTACTTTATTTCCCCGGCAGCTTTGATCGCCCATGGGATTATCCCATAGCACACGGAAGCCAGGACGCCTGCAATTATGGACGTCTTCCACCTTCCTCGACTTCGATGGCACCATTGTCCGCCGACACTGACCGGCGACACCGCGGCCAAGGATGTCTGGCCCTTCCGTGTGTGTGCTGCGTGTGGCTGAGTGCGAGGGAGAGGGAAACGGCGTGCCTGGACGTTACGAACAATGAACGATAGGGATTTTCTACTAGGGATGTGGAGAAAAGTGACGTTATAAAAGTAGCAGCCAGCGGCTGCCACTGTGTGTTCTCTTGTGTTCTCAACTGTGTTCTCTGGTGTTCTCAAGTGTTCTTGAGTTGATGTAACCTGTTCATATGTATGTATAAAGAGTTATATTATTTAAGAGACACCCCTCTTGCTCCCTGTTCCTTCGCGATTCCGGCCTCCACATGAGTTCCTGCCCTGGCTCGGTTCCCTGCCGTCCCCAGGGTCCCCGGACAACCACGCGTTCAAACACCGTCCGGGTACACTCCAGAGAGGCCGCACAGCCGAGCTCAGCGGGGCGCGGCCACTTTACGAAAGCACGCGCTCGGCCGTCGGCCGGCGAAACGAGGCCGTCCACGCCACTAGGCCGCAGACGAACTAAGGGAGTGGAAGAACGACATTCATGCTTTCGCGTTCACAACTAGTAAAAAGTGCTTAGATGTCCTCGGTCTTTTTTTTTTTTTTTTTTTTTACAGAAACACTATCAAACTTGGAGCAACAGAAATGTAGCCGAAAATACAGCTCTTGACGCGAGGCACATCCTGGTAGTGAAGTCAAGGATAAAAGTCATAACAGGGCTCCATCGAATTAGCTAGGCGCTAAAAACCCATAAGAGTGGTAATTTGGACAAGTTGGTGATGCATTACAATAAAACAAAAACTCGAAAATTAGACGAAGGACGAGTGAGAGGAATCTAACATGACAAGCGCTGACTTACAACTGAATTTTAATCAGAAACATAAAAGCGTGGAACCACCAAAACACAAAAACACCGCCAATCTTATCAATGTGATTACAAACTTTCTTCGTAACGACAATGCAAGCGATCTCGCTTTCAAACAAGGCAATGGACGGCGAACTGACACACATACACTCCTCGCACCGTGACATGACAAAAGCCACCCTAATCTCTCTTGTTCTTTGGTTAGTGTGCCGCGTCACAATGACAGTGCGAGTAAAAAGTGGGGTACACCCGCACCTGGCACAGTGTACCGCCGAGTGGCCGGAGGGAGAGGGTTTTATGGCCAGATCATGCTTCCCTAATATATCATTAATGCATCTGCCAGAGTGCTCGAGATATACTTTTGCACACGACAACGGAATCTTATATACTATCCCGACTTCAAAGTTCACAAATTATTAATCTTCCCTCGTCTTCCCTCCCCCGCCCCGGTCAGAGCTTTTCCAGTTTAGTAGGGTACGTAGTTGGGCTAGTTGGGTTCATCTTAGTTAAACATAAAAAATAGCGCAAAAACGACAAGGACAAAAAGTTTACGGGACAAGCGCTAGAAGTATACAGGACAAGCACACTAGCACTTGTCCTGTATACTTCTTGTCGTTGTCTTTTTTGCGCTATTTTATATCTTTAACTTTTCCAGCTTCCTAGGAGCGGAAAACAACACTGGAAACTGGTGTTTGCTCGCCCCTTCTTTAATTCCATAACTGACCTTATGAAGACAGGGAAGCACTACCGGTCTAACGCTGGGTCTTAATCTGCCTGGACCTGCAGCACTGATCCGGAGTCTTTTCTAGGAGGGTCTCCACCACTCCCACTTCTTCTGGGAGTGGTGGAGATTTTCCGAAAAAGACTCCGGAATTCTAGAAGCCAGACGCTCCTTTTATTTATTCTTTAAATTTAGCCTTCTCGCAAGTTCGCGACCTTTGTCGTCTGATCTAGGTCCGAATGTTCTACGCGCAGAACATTCTACGCCGAATGCTCCAGAAACCCACGCGGGTACAAATAGTGCTCCGCGTGGCGGTCCGGGGGCAGTCTCGCTCTTGCGCTCAATCGTGACACTCCGCCGACCTTTGACGCCTGCGACGCTAGCCATCTTCTATTTTGCTTTGGGCACAAGTTCGGTCAAATAATTGCTTAGTTTCTGTTCACCCGTGGTCTCCTCATCTGTCATTTGGGAGTATATGGTGCTCACCAAACACGATCGAACGGTTCGAACTGTGGTTCGAACTTCGCAATCAGTCGGAAATTAAAGTCAGCTTTATATCACTGGCTCGTGTCCTACGGTGAATACTAGCCGAGTTCGATTTACTTGCACCTCTTGCACCGGTGGAGAAAAGTGTAGGACAGAGTACTTCCGGAATGTGCATGGAGATATGACCGGAAGTACACCACCCTATATTATTGTGCGCCGGTGCAGGAGGTACAGCTAAATCGAATCTAGCTCAACTAAATCTGCGGCGAACAGTCCCTTGGTAGGAGTCAACCCCGAGTACCCGAGTTGCATACGCAGCTTCGAGAAACTTGTTTACTGACGAAACAGTCAGTGAAGTTGACTGCGAAAAGGCCACAAATACAGGGCGGGTGATTTCCCCTTAACCATTTTAACTGGGCGCCCCTGCCGACTCCCTAGCGTGCTTTTTGCGGCGACTGAGCGGAATGGTTTGCCATAACATCACTCTACACCCGTGAAGCTTTTTAGTATTGAGCCTTATCTAATTCGTATATGCCACTCAAGATATAAAATATTGCAGTTTTCTATAAGCCAAGAAAATTACGACTGGACCATTCTCAATATTTTATGTATTGATGGTAAATGGGTTCGGTAAACGTGCGCTAGTTACACGTGTTGCTTTGCAGTAGTTTTATTGATATTGTTAGAATGGCGAAGAAGACGACGGGGCAGTGGCGCGCACGACCATATCGCTCCAGGCCCCACTGGCCGGCTCGGCCTCCTTAAAATCATCCTGTCTTCTGTCTGTCATCACCCGTCCTATCCTCTATGCTGGCGACAGCATCATTCTAACAAATGGTGAAGTGTGCAGAGTCATTCTCATCCCCGACATTGAACACTTTCCCCACTATCATCCTTCCTCTCGCCTCGCTGAGGCAGTCATCCGCAGCAGCAGGTCCATCCATCCAGAGCCTTACAACATCATCAATAACCTAGATGAGCGAGGCAGAATATTTTCCCGATTGATATAAAAATAAATTTTACGAAATGCTACATGCCTCATGTACCTGTTACAATGTTATATAAGAGTAAAGCTCATGAATATTCCTAGCTCTGTAACCAATAGGGAGTATTCACTGGGCGCCATATTTGTGGATGCTGTTTAGAGCGCATGCTCAGAACGAGCTCACATCAATAGGCTGCTAAGACAGGCACTCTTGATGGTGCGGAATGCACGTGGCAAAAGAACTGTGGAAGCTCGCCATCAGCACGCGCTCAGCAGTCGCGCACACAGCTATGGCCGCCAGTGAATACTTCCTATACTCTATTTCACCTTATGATGTATCCCAGGAAACGCTACAAGCGCGAGTTCCTTGCTCTATGGCCCATCTCGGCGGCACAAGCTCTCGTGCATTAAGAGCAGCTGCCAACGCTATGAGCTCGCGCTTCTAGCCTTCGCTGCGGTACAATATGAGGTGAAACGAAGTATAGCTCAAAGCCTGGTTCAGACAATTGCGTTTGACTGCGTTGCGGCTGCGAGAAACCAGGACATCCCTGCTGCTTATATCGCGTGCCACAGTGATTCCTTGAATTGGATTCCATGCTTCATACGAAGCACAGATGTGCCGGTGACTCGCTTTCGGTTCTCGACGCAACGCAGTCAAACGTACTCAAACGCAAGTGTCTGAACCGGCCTTAAGTTGTATAAGCTTTCTGCGGAGTTTCTTTTTTTATGATACATTTTATTCGACTTGAGATTTGTAGCCCTGCTTGTTTTTAACTTACTGGTTTGATTAGACTGTGCTGGCGCCTTAAACGTTCTTTTGCACTTTTTTTGTTTCTCTAGGCATCGGCGGCATTGTCCTTTTTATGTTCACTATGAACGTGATGGGAGCTTTTCTGACGCAACTAATCACGACAACCTGGGGCATGCTTGGGAGGTAAGAATTCCATGCATAAGCGCGTTTTCCTACGCGCGGAGACTGATAGATATTCTGATGTTAGCCTGAGACTGAGGCAGGAAAAGAGGAAGTTTCAAAGTAGAAGAAAAAAAGGAACAGTCGAGGATACGTATCCTCGAGACGTATCCTCGACTGTTCCTTTTTTTCTTCTACTTTGAAACTTCCTCTTTTCCTACCTCAGTCTCAGGCTAACATCAGAATGGTTAATTTCCACCAGCTCGCCTGCGCACTCACTACAATATCACTGATAGATATGTTTTACACAAGAGCTGTTATCTGTTCCGGCTGTTGTCTTACGAAAACACATCCGCACACAGCGAGCCGCGTCGCCCTGGGTTTTTGCTTTTCGCCGATGCTCGCAGTTTTGTAAGCGTAACAAAATCGGACTCAGTGTAATATTTGGAGAAGGATATCGCGGTGCCGATAATTTTACAAACTGAGACAGTTTTGGGTGAAAAAAATATCCAATGGTCGCCGGAACAGTTGGCGCATCACCAGTGCACGTTCCTGGAAAACGGTCGCTCTAAAGTTCCTTCAACTTGCGCGCACCCTTTTCACGTATAGTTAAAAGGAATGAACTCCAAGCAAACTGTAGAGGGAGCTAATGTGGTGACTGAATTGTATCTAAATTGTGGCGCCCCTTTGGGTGATGATTGTTTTCATGAACGCCGTGCGTAATGAACGAGGGGCTCTTCTTCGACTGGCACAGTTGGCTCAAATACTTTATTAGGGGAAATACATTCCACTCTGCTAATTTGCATTAGACAGAACGCCTAAAGCGCCGAATCCAGCCCTGACGGAGTGGAGGTCCGCGTCAGTACACGCGGAAGTGCACATGGATGTTCGCGGCGGCCGCGGCGGTGTGTCCGTTGGTGTCGTCTCCGATTCCACCTAAAGCCCCTTCATGTTTCAAAAGTAGCGGAAAATGCACGAGGCACGTGCAACGTGCAACCCTTGGGAAGGTCATGGCCAAAGTAACGGTTGTTATGGCGGCACAGCGCAGCAAAGTATTTAGCGCACCACGGAGCTAGACTTTAGACGCCATGTTATTCTTAGAAGTGGCGCGCGGCAGGTGTTTCGCGCATTTCCACAACAATGAATTTGGTATGTAGAACAACCATCATCAATATCATCATTTACCGCCCGATAGCCGAGACCTCCCCGACGATAGATGGCTCTTGCCAAGCCCAGAAAACCTGCCCACGCCGAGGCTATTGTATTTGAGAGGAGTGGAATGCAGAGCCGTATATGTAGAGATTTTGGCCAATCGTAGGGAAGTATAGGAGACAAATGAGGAGGCGCCATTGGCCGAAAAAGGGCTGGGCGTGTTCCAGGGCGACTTCAGAAATTCTAATGCGACCAACCGGAAGCCGGAAATAATACCCTGGCGGTGGTTGCGAGAAACAAACCTGATAACTGCATTAGAGTAACTCTCGATGACTGAAAATATGGTACACGTGATGTTTCAATCACGCTCATCCAAAATGATGGTGGAAGAGTGCGACTAGCGGAACGATCGGCATAATCCGTACGCCAAGCGCCGAGGGCCGGGAGTCTACCGTCCGAGCGGTCACACACTGTCCGCGCAAAACAGAGTTGAGCGGCGCATTTGTTTCTTACATCTTTCTGCATGATCATGATCAAAACAACACGTGCACCCCATTTTCAACCACAAAGAGTTACTGGACTTCACTCTTACGCGCTTATTAAAACCATATACAAACATAGACCTTTGATCAGAACTGTTTGTGGCTACCACCGCTAGGGGATTCTTTTCGGCTTCTGGTTGGTCAAGAAAGCATGCCAAGCCCTCTTTCCGAGTCTGCCGCACGCCCTGGCTTTGCCCGCGCCTCCCATTGACCAAACTCTTTACATATAGAGGATTGCAAGCTGGGCGACTGGCCGCCGCCATGTCTCTGCTCGAGCAGGCACGCCCGTGCGATTACGAGCTTGCCAAAGCTACGTTCACCCGCGCGTTGCACGCGCTTGCACGCATGGGGCACCACTTGTGGCGCCATGCTTGCAATTGTCTATACGGCTCTGATGGAATGTATTCCCCCTAGCAAAGTATATGGTTGGATGGCGGTTCTCCTCACTCTCGGCCGCCCTGCCCTCTCGCGCGTGAGCCTCGCGCTCTCGGGCCTCGCGCCTCGCTTCTAAGCGACCACTTCATGGTGTAAGGAGCACGGACAGCAGGGACTCCCCAATGCCGGATGCCCTGGAAACTCCCGCTGTTTCGCCGCTCTTGCCAGCAGCCGCTGCCTTCTCGCTCCTGGCTCCGCCGCCGTTCACTTTCGACGAAGCTAGCCAGTGGCCTGCTTGGCTCCAGCAATTTCAAGATTACTTCTTTGCATCGGCCTGTCCACCACGCCCAAAGAAACCAAGGTGCGAACCCTCCTATACTGCAAAGGTCTCCAAGCTCGCGTGGTCCATTCGTCCATCATGCCAGACGACGAGGCCTACCGCTCGTACACCGACGCCGCAGCAAAGCTCACGGGCTACTTCGTGCTCTAAGTCAACGATGTGCACGAGCCGAGTCTCTTCCACAAGCACACGCGGTTGACGGTCGAGACCGTCGATGTGTTCTTCACGGCGTTGCATAACCGTGTCAAGAAGTGCAACTATACGGCACCGACGGTGCCGTATAGTTGCACTTTTTTACGATGCCGGCATCGTACGAGACCGGTTCGTCGTTGGGCTGCTAGACTCTCGCGTGTCCCACCAACTTTGCCAAAATCCCAAGCTGACGCTCCATGGCGCTCACGGTGGCTCGACAGCAAGAGGACGCGGAAAACGAGAAAATACGCCAAAGAACGGCTTCGCAGTCAAGTCGCCTCAACGTTAACGCTACCTCAAGCAATCCAACTAAGATGGCGCCCGCCTACAGAGTTCGAGAACCTTATTGAAGTTGGCGACACGGCCGGGACAGCCAGCCTCGTTGGTTTGAAGGCGCCATGCTGCTACTGCGGCAACGAACCGCACTCACGTTCCGATTATCCAGCCAGGAGGGCTACGTGTAAGCATTGCCGAAAAAAAGAGACATTTCGCGTTAATTCGCCTTTCCAAAACGAAGCGTCTCGGCTGGCTGTACTCCGTGGAAGTGTCGTAAGAGCCCGGCCCGTACGTCGTTGCACACGTCATCGGCTGCCCCCTCCAGTTCAAAGTGAACTCCGACGCGGACGTGTCTGTCGTCTTCCGCTCTTTTCCAGGATGCCGTGCCTCGTTGGACAAACCCATGGGCGAGCAACTCGTCGGTCCGGGACGCTGCCGTCTCAAGCGTCTCGGGACGTTCCCGGTTACCCTGGCATGGCGAGGTAAGACAGTATACCAGAATCTGTGCGTCGGTGGCGGTGTAGACACTCCTCCGCTAGGCTACGCTGCGATAGTCGCTCCCGGGGTCATCCACTTTGTCGACTCCGCAACCGATGGCGACCTGCCGAAAACGTCTCCGTCGCCACCCGCTCCTACACGGCCTGCTGCTGCCGCTCCGCTCTTCAAGGGACTCAATACGATGCCGGACGTGTACTACATCCGCATCAAACCAGGGGCTGTGCTCGTCTCATTGAGCGTGCCCAGACGGATTTCTATCTCTCTCCGAGGAGTGATAAAAGAAAAACTTGACAAAATGGAGAGAGGAGGCGTCATCGGGCGTGTTGAGACACCAATAGCCTAGGGCGCCGGCCTCGTCGTGGTTCCCAAGTCTGCGGGTGGCTATCGACTCTGCGTCGATCTAACCAAGTTCAACCAGGTCGTTACTAGAGAGAGGCACCTGATGACGACCATTGATCAGGATCTGGGACTACTAGAAAGCACACCAGCATTTTCGAAAATCGAGGCGACGACCGGATTTCAACAAGTGCTACTTTACGATTGAAGCAAAGAATACACAATAGGTCTGTTCGATTCGACCAGAAAGTTCTGAACCAGTTCTGTCCGAGTTCAGAGGAGTGCAGGAGTCGTGCAGCGGCGGTGCAGAACCAGTGCAGCCGCCGCGCTAGGACTGGCGCTGTGATCGCCTTTCCGAGCGGAAACGCAGGGTGTCGTCTGCATCTGTTGGCTCTTGTTTCTCCACGCCACGTTGTATGCTACATTTAATTAGTTGCGGTTTGATGAGACCGTTCGTGTTGCTTTTAAAGTATTATAACCGAATCTTTTCTGTGAATATTTTTTTCGAGTGTACTAAAAACGTTTTCTGCGCGAAATGTGTTTCTGTCTGCATTTTTAACGGCCGTTCGGTTCCTGTCGTTTCCCTAAGCGTTCGTGTCCTTCACATTCATTTAGCAATAGTAGAGTCACTCCAAGTCTTTCGAGTTTCGCATTTCGACGATAGGTTCGCGGCATCAGGATGATTTTCCGTCGGGAGTCAGTGGTGGCGGTCAGGGCCGTACACAGAAAAAAATTTCGGGGAGGGTTTTCGGGGACAACGGCGGCCATTTTGAAAGTGTCTGTTGTCTTATTTTCGCCTATGAATCATGTGCATCGGTGGCATATAATGGAGAGTTACAGCAAACCGGAGAACCGGTCCCGGTTTCGTACCCGGTAGCCGACCGGCGCCACTGCGCGTGCGCAGAGGTGGAGATTAAAATCGGCTGGCTGCCAGTGCACCGACCAGGGCCGTACCCAGAAAAAACATTTCGGGGGGGGGGGGGGGGGGTCAGAACCCCCTATCCACCCCCTGGTTACGGCCCTGGTGGCGGTCACCTCGAAGACGAAGGCCTGACGATAGCGTTTTGGCCAAAACAGTTATCGACCGTAACTTTGGCGTCAAGCTGAAGCATTTATTCTGATTCTCAAGAAAGACCCGCGTGGAACTACCAAGCCAATTCCGATTCCCGGCGTTTTTCTCATGCCCGTTAGTGGGCGTCCAATACCAGCGGACAAAGCATGCAGTATTATGCTCAGCTACGGGGCATGCGAGGGCCATTGTACTAAATCCCAGACATCTACAATGTATCGGAGTCGTCAGTATGCATCCAAGA